TTATTATTAGTGTATTAAATTAACAAATGAGCTTGTTACTTGATTTTTCCCCTTTGATGTATATCAAAATTACATTAGACTGATATTACTGTAGAAGGAAATAGATCTCTGCTATTATTATATAGACAACTGCCTATGAAATATGAAGACAATCTAAAAATGTAAACTGTGATTATAACAGAAATTAATTTGATGGAAGACAACATGAACACTAATTATATCAAGAAGTAGGATTCTGTTGTATTAAAAAGATAAGCAGGCAATGCTGTAGTTCCCCAGAAGGGATGTCTGAGACAGGAGCAGGAAAAGGGTGTGTCAGACATTCCTGGATGCACAGTCCCACTACTGCTGGGATAGTTTTGATTGGTCCCCTTTCCCTTCCTTTCCCAGATCGCTCAATAGCAACCACAGAACACTTAATGGCACTTATTCTTTTTTAGTTCTTTTCCTTCTGCCAGGTTTGTGGCTTAAAGCACTGGAAGAACACTTGCTGGCCCAAGTTAAGCAACTGGAGTTGACAGACAAGAACAGAGGGTAAGAACTACGGGGCAGGGTCAGGGTGGGGAAAAGAACAAGTAACAAGGTGTTTCATTAGCTCACTGGTTCTTAGGGAACTGTACCTGTATACCCCTAGAGTCCTCGGATACAATATGTACAATACCAAGCTAAATCTGACTTCTGCACAGAGGTGCCTATAAGATGCAAGCTACCTCATTCGTTTTTCAAACTAAATAAACCATGGGGCAAAAAGAAACCAGTCCCCAACTGCCTGTCTCAAATTCTTTCAGCCCTTCCACCTACATTGGCATTTTTCATATTTCCTTCTGGTATTTCTCCAGTCTATCAACATCCTGAGGGAACTGAACAAACACAGGTGCAGCACTGAGAAAAGCAGGGTGACCGTTTTTTGGAAACTCTACCATGAATAAACATTTCAGTCACATCATTCATCATGACAAGAGATGCACAGTATCTTGAAAGACATATCTGAAGACAGTTTAAAGAAATGTTATCAAATGCCGGATTTGCCACATGTTGTAACAATGGCAAGCAAACAGATCTTTCAGATCAAGTGTCTAGAAATAAATTACCTTATCGATGATACTGTCAATTTTTCCTTCTTCTACAGACTTCTTTATTGTCTGTGCTGTTTCAGCAACAGACTCAGATATCTTTTTTGTAGCAGCAGAGGCAAAATTGAAGAGGTAACCTTTCACAGACAAAAAAGAAAACAAAGACCTGAGAATAGATTTCTTTACATCCAGTTCTCTTTCTACATTTATTTTACCTTCTCTTTAGACGTTTGGATACCTACTTAAAAGTTTCTTTCAAAATAACTTAACCCAGCTTGTGGCCTACAAAAAACTCCTAAAATTCTATTTATCTTTTTCTAGTTTGCATTATTTAATGATGATGATTACAACTTTCTGCAAACCAAATATTTATACACAAACCTTGTTTACTAAATCAAAAATTGCTAATGGTCCTTGAAATACTTCTTTCCAATGACTTTTCTGAAGCAATGTCTTTCCCTATTTCATATAAGTGTTTTGGAGACATTAAGCCATAAAGTAACTTAGCTACAGTATTAAAACAGATTTTTTTTTTTAAGAAAATCAACATGCAGAATAAAGTCTTATAAACTGAGGCAGCAAATACATTAAAAATTTCAGGCAGGTAACACCTCCTTTAAAAGTCTTCACATAGAAGCATGCCCTTGATGTTGCCCTTATCTATTTTGCATTATCTTCCTCTCTTTAGGAAAAGAAAAGCACTGTGGTCCTGTTCACTCATTTTTCTGAGCCATATTTTCTGAAAACAGTTTCAGAACAGCAATGAAGAATATTCTCAAAGATTCACATTCTTTTTGTTAACAGTGCTGAAGAGAGGTGGCAGGGAAAGAACTGCATACACATAGCATGGCCATCTGCACCATATTATTCTATTTTAAATAAGGAGAACAAATGTGCAAGAAGCATCTTGCAAGAAGCAAGATGTATGTAATAAACCTTCAGAAACATCAAGTACCAGCTTACAGACAAGTGATTTGAAAACATTGGTACTATTTCTCAGATAGCATGATGTCAGAAGCACTTAATATACCTGAATGACTGCATTTCACTGCAGTACCTCAGTTCCAGTACATACACTGTGTCAGTGCCATGGTAAATAAAATACTTGCAGAGAGATCTAGATAGATTGGAACATCTGGGCAAACATCAATGGCATGAAATTTAACAAGAAGAAATGCTGGATTCTGCATGTGGGATGAGTGTAAATTGAGGGAGGAGTGTCTGGAGAGCAGCCCTGCAGAAAGGGACCTTGGAGTACTGCTTGGTAGTCAGCTCAATAGAAGTCACATACTTATACATAGAGTTATGCAGAATCACCTTTGCCTTTTATACAGGAGTTGTCAAAAAAATCAACCAACACAAAAAAACCCCACCAAATCCCAGCACTTCAGTTTCAAACAAATGACCACCCTCCTTCTCAAGGACTCTCAAAAAATACTATTTCCCTATGGGTTAGAAATGTAAAAAATAATCTTATAATGAAAAAAAAATTAAAAATTAACACATGGTTGTTAGCCCGTGGTAGAACGAGTTAGTTTGGAACACTGATGTCACCTCTTGGAAAGCTGACTATTCTCTGGGTTGGATAAAATGTTCTCTTGTAATGATATCACAAATCAATACCAAAATATGCAGAGGTCTAGCCAAGCCTTAAGACAATTTTTTATGTGTAACTTTTTTTATCTGTAACAAGTCACAGAATGGTGGTAACCAAACATCGTTCAAGTACTTACTAGCATCTTTTATACCCATTATCAAGCTTTATAACCCACCACATGATTCAGGAGTAAAAAAAGGTTAAGGTCTATATTTTAGACATAGACAAATACATTATTCCTCTTATGAGAGCAAACAGCAACCTACTGGACTGCTTACTCCCCACCAGCTTTTATTGGTTGTTTCATGTATCCCTGGAACCTCTCCTGTATGCAACAGTTCTAGGTGCAAAATGTGCAGAGACATTTGCTGTCTGGTGACATTCTGGCATTATTGCATAAAGTGCTTTTGGCCAGTCCTGAAACTGTGCTGAAGAGCAAAAAGCTTTTTATTTATAAAACTGCAGAAAAGGTGGTACTTAGCCTTAGAAAAACAGAATTTGTGGTGGAAAATAACACTTTCAAATGACCAAAAAACTCATCTTCCATCTCACAAGTGTATGCTTATATTAAGAATATGTATCTAGCAATACTTCTATTATTCACACTGGCAAAACGCTCATAATATCTGTAATGGCATGATAATGAGCAAAAACCATGTCTATAAGGCTTCTGCTTTACCACTAAAATTCTTTATCTGCCAGGAGATTCTTTTTACACAGCTACCCAGATTGTTGTCCATGCAGAGGTTTCTAGGATTATGTGTTAAAACAGCAAGAAAGCCTTTCCACCGTAATCTATTCTGGTGTCACAGACAATGGACCCATTGAACACTAAACCAAATTTTCATTTACAGAGCAAATTATGGAATGGATCTTTATATAGATAACAGTCAATACCTATTCTTCCCCTGAAACTCAAATTCCTTTTTCCTTCCTGAACAATTTGCAGATTAGAACAGTCAGAGTCAGCAGCAGGTTAGTATCAATTTACCACAACTAGACAGGTATTTCAGCACACTATACAGACTAAACTGCTGCAATTCTGGTTGCCCAAGACAATGCACAGTACAGAATCAGCTCAAATCATACTGATCCAGAATTTCAGAGCATCAATTAAAAAAAAAAACCAAAACCCAAACCCCTTCCTTAAAACAAAACTTTAGTAATTAGAGTATAGGTCTATACTATGGATTAATTCTATCCAAGAACTCACTACAGCAATGCAGGAATTCTACTTATAGCAAATTACAGCTTCACCCATCCCTGGCAGCGTTCAGGGCCAGGCTGGATGGAGCTTTAAGCCTGGTCCAGCAGGCACAGCAGGGGGGTTGGAATGATATTATCTTCAAGGTCCTTTCTAACCCAAACCATTCTGTGATTCCAAGACATGTTCAACAAAACCATCAAGCGCCATTATTTTCCTATGAAAAGAACACAAACGCCTACAGTGCAATGGAAGTACATTATTCTACGTAGACAGATCTGTACACACAGACCTCCTCCCACAGTGCCAACAGAACAGATACTTAAGAAACGCTGCTCCTTTAGAAACAGCTCTGAAAGAGGCGACAACGAAAGGCCCTTCGCAGCCTTGATTCCTTAGCTCATATCTGAAAGCCGGCGGCCCCGGCACACTCACTGCCGAATCCCTTGGCCTGGCTGAGCAGCGCCTCCGAGTCCCCCTGCAGCTCGCCCCGCTCCTGCCCGGCCGGCGCTGCCTCCTCCTCCTCCTCCTCCTCCCCGCGGTCCTGCTGCTGCTCCGCGGGGCCGCTGCCGCGGCCGGCGGGCAGCAGCGCCTCCTCGCCGGCGCGCTGCAGCCCCAGCCAGCTGCCCAGGCCGCGCAACATGGCTGCGGGGCGGCGGCCGCGCTGCGCCGGCCCGGCGCCGCTGCGGAACCGCGGGCGGCCGCTGCCGCCGCTTCCGCGAGCGCCACTTCCGCCGCCAGGGGCGGAGCGGGGCCCGGGCGGAGCGGGGCCCGGGCGCAGCGGGCCGGCGGCACCTGCCGCGCCGCGGCTGGCCCGGAGGGGTGGCCCGGAGGGGTGGCCCGGAGGGGTGGCCCGGAGGGGTGGCCCGGAGGGGTGGTGCCGGCCGCTGTGCGCCCTGCTCGCTCGCCCCGCTCGGAGGCGCGGTGCCTGCGGGCGCTGTGTCCCCCCGGCCCGCCGGCGGTGCGCTCGGGCTCGGCGCTCCTGCTCTGCGCTGCCGGGCTCCGGTGGGAGCAGCCGCCTTTAGCAGCTCCGTAAGTCTGAGGCCTCTCCCCGCTCGGCCGCAGCGCCCCGAGCGCTCCCGCCGCGCGGCACGTTTGGGGTGCGGCGCCCGCAAATCCCTGCTGGAGGCGGCAGCTCCTGTAGATAAGGCTGGACGGAGTAATTCGTGTGCCACTTGTCCGCAAAAAGATTTCTTCCAGTATTCGCTTTCAGCGCTCCCTCCCCTAACTCTATTTCCTTCATCTTTTACAAGTGACTTGCAGTTGTACTTGCAGAAACCCTGCAGTTCTCTGTACCTATTTCAAGTAAACACGTTTCCTGAAGCTGCTGGGATAACGCCGTTTTTGCTCAAATCACAGCAAACTTTTCATTTTGGTTTCTGTAAGCAAGATTTAAGAATTATAAACTGGCATGTACGCAAGATTTATCCTGTTGTTGAAATTATCCCCTTTGTTTTCCTTAAAAAAACTTTGAAAATGACAGATATTTTATGATGTTAGTGTTGACAGCTAAATTGGCTGAGTTCTGAAGGAATAGCCTGAAACAGAGGTAGGATAGCCTGTAACAGAGGGTCCAAGTCTTAAAATCTGTGCTATTAAAAGAATTACATATTAAAATTAAATGGCAGGGAAAAATTAATCCCTGGTGTTCCTTTTTCTTCTGAGTTAAATGCATTTAATGGTTATGGTCGTCTTTTGGATCATATCGACAAGCAAATAGTTTATTAATTCCTATTACCAGAAATGTAAGAGCATTGATAACATGCCTTGTTCCATTTCTGAACTCAGTCTCCTGAAGATCTAATAAAAAAACATGATTTATATTACTTTAATAAAAAGAAGAATTTAAATGTTCATTGGGTATCTACTGCTTCATACCAGCAGCTGAATTGCTTTGATTTATACTGAGGACCGTTAGAACTAAGTGCTGTTGCTTGTTGTTGTGGATGAATTGGATATTTAAATAAGGAAGGGTTTTCTTGGCCCTAGAGTTCTTGCTTTAGGTAAGCCATGCTGTCACTATTCAGTGATTAGCCTCCACAGCCACCTGAATGGAATTGAATTCATTTACAGATGAGATACGTGTCATCCTGCTTCAGATGGGTGGAAAAATGCAGCTTGTATCTGATCAACACCGGTGCCTTTGTTTGCTAAAGTGTATAAATAGTAAAAAGTTTTTGAAATCCTTTTATGGATTTGCTACTCAGCACCCCTTTCAGTCTAGAACTGCAAATTAATACCTCAGCTCTGTGTGTTGATCAGCCTCATCAGGACCTAGGATAGGGACAAGACTGGTTATCTTATATAGTGGTGTATAACTTGGGAGAGATGAGTCCTGCTCCCAGATTCCAGAATGGTAATTTTTATTGTATGTTGCTGAAGGTCATTTCCATTTAGATCTTTACAGATTGAGTGTGTGATCTTCCCAGACATGAATTTACATTCATCAGATGTACATCTTTGTTGTTTTAGATTTCCAGCTCAAGGTCTGTGCATGTGTGCTGATTTTCCAATGAAGTACATCCTGGTAACTGGTGGTGTCATTTCGGGCATTGGCAAAGGGATCATTGCAAGCAGCATTGGCACCATTCTGAAGTCCTGTGGTCTACGTGTCACTGCAATCAAAATTGATCCTTACATAAACATAGATGCTGGAACCTTTTCACCATATGAACATGGTATGAAGATAAGTGTTATTCTCTTACACGTAAACATTTGTATTTATAAGAATGTGATTTTTTTTTAACCAATAGTATGGTGTTTACAACCTGTTTTATCATTATTTTGAAAGTTTATTGCTTACTCTGTGTTCTCAAGGACACTGTCTGCTCTAAGTTAAGAAACAGAAGCCTGTTTTTTTGAAGATACTGTTATGAGCAGATGCTTCCTTTCTATAAAATACCACTTTACTAGGAAAATCCTAGCTGCATGACTTGTTCAGTTAATGATGTCTTCAGTTCAACTTGATTAAAACCCCTTTATAAATAGTGCTATGAAACTTACTTGTAATTTTAAGTCCTTAAGAGTTACTTGAGAATGCTGTTCTGTGGGTATCAGTGCCTTCTGATATAAGTGCTTTCATTAGAGTTGCCTTAATTTCTCATTTTAGTAAAAAAATCTAGCCAAAAACATTAGTGAAGCTTAGAGAACCTAAATTTATTGAATTGGAGTGCTGTGCTTTGATGGGATATACATTTCTGTTGTCCACATTTTATTTTCTGCATTAGTAATGTAACTTGTTTTGCCATTGATTTATTGGGTCATGACAAAACATATACAGTTTTTCTGAAGAGCTTTCCAGGCTTACCTCAAGATCTGGTAACTTGAGTTCTGTCAGAAATTGACTAGATTCAGAATTTAGAGACACTTTAGAGGGCTGAGAAAAGGGTATTAAATACCTGAAGGGTATTTAAGTGGATTTTTCAGGGTCAGAAATAACCCTTTCTGTGGACATGGTGAACCAAATATACTGAAACAACTGACTCAGAAATGGTGATTACGTTTGAAGAAGCAGTTTTGTTCATCATAACTTTACTCCTGATCAAAGCCTCAATCATTAAACTAGATCCAATCAACAAGAATTTATATGAAATACTTTGAATATGTATAATAATTCCTGCTTATGAAAGCATGGTTTTTCTCTCCTGCAAGTAAATTAATATTTTATTTGTTGCTGATTTACGATTCCTAGAGGTTGTTTTCTTTCAGTGAAGGATTATTCTGCTGTTGAAATGCTATTTAAATATTTATGTTACTTCAATATTTTGGCAACGTAACTTACATTTTATTTGCAAAACTATATGTATCTGAGAGATGGATATTAGATGTAAAACTGACTTAGATATTAAGTCATACAGAATGACTATTCAAATTGGGTTGCAGTATGGACTTTACTGTTATGTCGTTGTCATATATAATTTAATTTTCTTTCTTCTGTTTTAAGATGTCTGTGGTATTCCTGCTGTATGCTTAATAATTTCTGATTATTTTGTTGTTTTTCTGTCTGTTTTGCTTTCTTTTTTCAGGTGAAGTTTTTGTATTAAATGACGGTGGAGAAGTTGACTTAGATTTGGGAAATTATGAGAGATTTTTGGACATCAGTCTCTATAAAGATAACAATATCACCACTGGAAAGATATATCAGCATGTCATTAATAAAGAAAGACATGGTGATTATCTAGGAAAAACCGTTCAAGGTAATATTTTTAATTTTGTGGGATACTAGTCCATTCAGCCTTCACAAAAGAAGGGATCAGCTAGAACAGGCTGCTTCTTGCTCCATCACCTTACTCCTTTCTCCCTTCCAAAAGCTAGGGACATATTCCTGGGCTCAAGGATAGGAGAACTACAGAAAGGTCTTAGTAGTTTCTTCTTGGCTTTCTGTTCACTTTACCCCTTTTGCATTCAAAAATGAGTGTATGTACCTAAAGTAAGCTGTGCTTGCCTTTGGTTTTGTTTTGTAGTTGTTCCACACATTACTGATGCAGTTCAGGAATGGGTAATGAATCAGGCAAAAGTTCCTGTGGATGATGACAAAAAAGAGCCACAGATCTGTGTAATTGAGGTAAGTATGGAACCTTTTAGGTATCCTTTTAGGTATCTACAGTGAATATATATACCTTTTAGGTATCTACAGTGAACACAATGAGCTCGTTGGCTTTCTCTTTGCTCCTTACTATAAAAAGGTCAGACCGAAGTTTTATTGGAGAGCAGAAATTCAAAACCACATTCTATATTTAATTTGTTCCTAAAGGGATATGCTTGGTCTTGATTCTCTACAGCTTCCATTAACTTGACTAAATCCACTCTAGAATACATCTGAAATTGAGCTTCTTTAGAGTCCTTTAACTTAGAGAATTAAAGCAGTTAGTGTAATGTGAACTGTCTGTTTCAAGATCCAGATGTTTGACTGAAGCTTTATCTGTTAATAGTACTGAGAAAACTTGTGTAATACCTGAAGTCTCCTGTGATCTGTAGGAGAGCTTTAACATTCCAGCTTCCATAGAACTTCAAGTATTCATCTTGTTCCTTGTGGTCATGCTTAAGAGAATATATTTAAACAATGTGTAAGTTAGTTTCCCACTTTCTGATGTTGTCCTTGAGATCTTTGGTGGCAACTCTGTTAATTACTTAACCTGCTGATGTTCTGCACAATGGAAACAAATGGTTTTCCCACCCTTAGTAGGCCACTGAGGCAGCTGGATGAAAGCCAGTAATTGCTTGTAGTACTATTACACCAGTAAATAATGAAAAAACATTATAGTTGAGAATTTGACAGAAGATGTCACAGATTTAATGCCAGAAGTGACTACTGCAATCAATAGTACCATCAGCTTTGTGACCCAGCAACAGAATTACTCAGTATTTCTTACGCAGAAGAATCTGCCTTGATTGAAATACGCTTACCAATATACCTATAGATCTTTTTATGATATTTACAGTGGGAGTCAAATATTTCATTTTAAAAAATATGAAAAATTAAATACAAAAGTTGCACAAAAACATTAATAAGAGATGGTCATATCAGTACTTTAACTACAGTTTTTTCACCTTTTTTTTTGTTTGTTTTGGGGTTTTTAAGGTTTTTTTGGTATTTTGTTACATTTAAACCTCCAGCCTGATAAAATTATTTTTCTTTAGTACTCTAAAAACAATTGTAACATTTTTCCATTGTAAAATCCTGAAGGAGTTAGACTAAATGTGTGTGATTTACAAATGTAGTTGTCAGTTTTTCTGGTCCTGGATCAACAGAAATATGTAATTCTGTTGAAAACCACTTGGTGGCACAAAAAGATCATTCTGAAATACAACTATTTCATCAGACTTGTTTGCAAAGCTGCTTTATTCAGTGCTTAGTCTGCTATAGCTCACTGTGTCTTTGAAAGGCATTTGATTTCTGTTATAAATAAATTTCAGCATGTATTTTGTATTGCATTTTGGTTTGGTAATAAACAATTATTGATGTTGGAAAGCCGTGATAATACTGAGAAATGTCTGTCTCTAGTTAATCACAAATATTTTTTAATCTGACAGGAAATAAAGTTTTCCTATATAAAAACCTTTGCATCAACTTAGCTATTGATTACTGGTTCACCACTTTGAAGGCAGTGTGAAGCATGTACTATTGAGCAACACCACCCATCTTCCCATGGGAAGCTTATGTATTTGGTGGAAAGTGAACATAACAAAACCTGAAAATTGTTTATAATGTTTTCCACAAGAAACAAGCCGTGCAGAGTAGATGAAAGCACTTTGTAGAGTATCTTTGCAAATTTCAATTGTCAGGGTACTTTTCAGATAAAAGTTTCAGAAAATATCTTGAAATATATGAGACTTTTTTTTTTCCTTTTGTTTTTGCTTTCTGCCACTGACATATCCATTTCCTTTTCAGCTGGGTGGAACCATTGGAGATATTGAAGGAATGCCATTTGTTGAAGCATTTAGACAGTTTCAGTTCAAAGCAAAAAGAGAAAACTTCTGTAATATCCATGTTAGCCTAGTACCACAGGTAAGTTTTGGAATATTCTTCTTCTGCCTGAGCCAATTATATGGAATGTTGTTCTCTGAAAACAAAAACAACAAAGTCAACTTGACTTGAATTGGAATTCAGTATTTCATATACAAGTAAAAACAGTGGGGTCATTTCTGTTTCTGGCATATTATGGCTCTCTTTGGATATGTTTATTTCCTGTAAATATTATTGGCGTATTATGGCTCTCTTTGGATATGTTTATTATTATTTGCAATGAATTTTGTCTTTTAATCTGCAACTGCTTTGTTAGCAGATGTTAGTTGCTATTTGAGCTTTCAAAATGTGCCTTTTCAGCCCAATGCTACTGGTGAACAGAAGACAAAACCAACACAGAACAGTGTTCGAGCACTGAGGGGTCTAGGCTTGTCTCCAGATTTGGTGAGTCAATATATACAGATTTTTATTTATAGGTCATCTAGAAATATCCTTGCATAACTTGTGTTCAAAGAATAAGCCATAGTCTCTCAAGAGACATGAGGATTTTAGAAGAAATGCAAAATATGTGCTGCAAAGCTCCATTAAAGCCACAGAAATCAAATTAGTCAAAATCACTCTAATCACAAACTTATTTCAACTAACTTCTTGCAATATCTTGGGACTGTAACTAGGTTCTTCTAAAGGCATCTTTTTTGCAAAAATAATTCTTCACTGCTAAAAATAAGTGAAATCTCAACTCACTTTGTAGAAAGACCAAGAATGTTACTGTCTCGTAACATCCAGATTTTTTTAATGCATTATTAAGAAGAAGCAATGTATATATCTTCAAAAAATAAAAATTACTCTTAAGATAGTCACACAACTAAATTTTGTGTTGTGCTTCTTTCTGAAGTTTTTTTTTCAGCTCTTTCATTTTACTTTTATAAATGAATGTGTTTTTAACTACAAAAGCAATGGATTTGGAAATAGGGTATGTGAAAGATGTGTTTGGTGTCAAATGGATGTGACAGGATAATTGTAACCAGCTTGTGGAAGGAAAGACTTTTATTAATGTAATGCTGTACTGTGTTCCAAGTTTCAGGGCCTAATCTCCAAAATCCCTCTTGAAGTGGGAAAGTTGCCTGTTCATTTTGAAGGCATTTAAGGCAATTGCCAGGGCCTGACTTCTCCCTCCACTCCAAAAAATAATTTTCTTTAAAAAGCCTGCTAAGTGTGTGTGTGTGTAATAAAAGGAGAACGGACAAACACGGTGACTGTCTTGCATCTTGGGTTCTTGCCTGGGGCAGTTCCGGGACTGCCAGGAGCACAGTATCATTTTTGGTTTTTGACTGCTGCTGTTGACACCTGAAGCAGGGACAGATCTCACTTGAGGTGCAGCCTCTTGGTGCCCTTATAAAGCTCCTTGAGTGCTGCTTCAGGACAACATTTAAATGGTTGCTGTCAGGGCAGCACATGGGGCAGCTCCTACAGCTGAGCCCATTTCATCCAGTTCTGAATCCCTGCTGCCTCCCTGCCTGCTCCCAGGCATCCCTGGGGTAGCTTAGCTCTGTGTGCCCAAGCCTCTCTGTTCTCCCTGGGGTGTTCTGTGTGCCAGATGGATACTGTGCTGTGGCTGCACAGATCCTGTACTCTGAGGCAGCACTTTAGTATGCACTTGTCAGAGCTACCCTGTTGGATTCAATTCTTCCTCATTTTCTGTTATGTGTTATGGGCCTTTGCGGTGCATCTCTCCCATTTTTATTGTAGTTGTGTTATTTTCGTGCTGGTTCTGATGTTTTTGATTTCTGTGTCTGCATTAACTTTAAGTTTGTCTCTGCAAGACAGACAGCAGATTTCAAAGTGGGTTTACTCGTGCTCATACTATCAAGGTTTATGAATTATAACTTCAGCTTCAAACTGTGCCAGATTTTACATATGAATTGTGCTTAAGTGAATAGAATGTACAAACTGTTTCCTGATTGCATTTTGATTTAAAAGCACAATAACTTTCCCTTATACTTGGTATTTTTTTTTCTGTTTCTAGAATTACTTCTAAGGTTAGGGTAAGTTAATTAGACTCCATCAGAATCAGGGTACCTAAGCTCCATTAGCAAGGTGATCAAAGGGCACCTGGAAGTTTCTGAGCAAAAGGGCTTGATGAATTAAGTAGTTGCATTTGCTAGAAAGATGGGGAAAGTAACGAACTAGTCTTGTAACAGGATCATCCTACTTTTTGTTACACTTTCAGGTTTCAAAATAACTTAAGGGAGTAGACTGAGTAATTAGTAGGCACTTTACTAGAGCAGTTTTGCATTTTGATCTAGTTGCCTGGAGTTACATACTGCAGAAAAAGACCCTTCCAACAAACACCAAAGCATATAATTATTTTTTTCATCAGTTAAAAATTATCAATATTTTCTGAAATTACTGGGGTTTAAATGTATCAGCAAAATACTAGCACCAGTAAAAACTCCATACAATTATGAATTAGTTTTTTCTTCTTTGGCCTTGTTTTTGTCATGATGTCTAAATTAAGAAGATGCTGAAATACCGAAATACTCATGCATGTAAGGATAAGTATTATTACTCTTAATTTAAATCTGATCCTATTGATAAGATTACAATATTTCCTTTGATTCATCATATTCATACTTGTAGAGATGCTAGACTTGAGGGAAAGCGTATTACAATAGTAGCTGCCAGAAAGAAGAATATGAGGAAGGAATATTACAGAGAATACCAATGAAAGATGAAAGAAAATTGGTCAGTATGGGCAGATGATGGATTTGCTTCTGCTTTGCTAGTAGATATTTGTGAGCTCTGATACATCATAGAACTCCAACAGGGGGGAAAGAGTGAAAAAAGGCACATTTGTGCTCTGCTTCCAAAGGAGATGAATTTCACTACAAAATATTGAGGATCTTCTATTGGTTTACCTAGTAAATATTTGAAGTTTTCCTTCTCTTATGACAGATAGTCTGCAGAAGTGCAAAACCTATAGAAATGGCTGTGAAGGAGAAGATTTCCATGTTTTGTCATGTGGAGCCTGAGCAGGTCTGTACTTCAATGTTACATGTGGGAAAGTATACAAATACTTCTTTGCATTTCTGTTTTCAACTTCTGACTGCTTCAATCATGTGTGATTGTCTTTATAAATTTTATCTTGTTATTATGGATGCTATAGCATTTTCAAAATATCAGGAGTATAAATGTTAAGTTTTATGTCAAACAGTCATTAGTAATTTAAATTCATGTTGTGTAAAAGCTAATAAAAAGTAGATTTTAAGTACATGGTTAATTGTTATACATAGCATGACACTCTACGGTTTTCACAGCTATGGCTGGTTTTATTCATTATTTATTGTTAAGTATTTATTGCCCATAAATCATCTCAGGTGATTATAATAATAGATGAGCAAAGTGTGGTTAAAGCTAGGTGATTTACTTATGTCCACATGGTCACAGCCACATGAACACTTACTGTGATTATATGTAATAGACTATTTATGCCCTTAACCATGCATCTGCTGTGTAATTATATATTCTTCTGTAATTCATGTGTAATTTTTCCCCTAATAGTTTGCAACTAATTGGTATTCAAATATTACTTTTGATTAATTGACTTCTCTTTAAATATTTTTGCAAGTGAGAGCATTTTACTTTTCAATGTAATGGATAATGCTGAAGGTTCAAGAGATTAAGATTGAATGGGCACATAGAGAGGCATGGGGCAGAACACACATGTACAGTTTGTGATGAACAGAAGCAGCTCGAGGGTAGCAAAGAGAGTATCCTTTACTGTTCATGTCTTGAGAACACTTGTGCTCAGGATTCTGAGCTCTGTGATCTCAGGTAAACCAAGCACAATCACCTTAATTGCTGGCAGCTTGGATGCATTTTATAAATGTGTTCTGAACAAAATGGTCCTTAAATAGACTGTACTCAGTAATTACATAGTTTAGATCACTAACAAAATACATTTAGGAGACTTTGTCACAACCAAATTTGGACTGTTTTGTTACGTTTCATTTGTTTTCTTGCTTTCATGCTTAATATTCCTCAGGTTTGTAAGAGGGGAGGAAGGAAGTGCTAGCAAGCATGAGTGCTTGTGGGGCCAGATGTTTGCATTAAAACTGATGCATTGATAGGCTTGACGAGCCTATATGATGGTGTGAAGGAGAAGTAAAACACATTTTTACTTTTTGAGTAACTTTTTCCTTGTAGGTTTAACAGAACCTTAAATATTAGCTGTGCTGTCCTACTCATTCAAAAGGAAGGTATTTAAAAACCAGAATGTGTGTAGAATAAAAAATGCATGTAGTATCAAAAAGTGGAATGAATTTTTCCTATGAAAAATGTACCTAAGTTTTTTATGTTCTGCCTTTGTTTGTTAGGTCATATTTATTCATGATGTTTCTTCTACTTACCGAGTACCTATCCTATTGGAAGAGCAAGGCATAATTAAGTATTTTAAACAGAGGCTAAATTTGCCTATTGATGACCAGCCAAGTGATCTTCTAATGAAGTGGAAGAAAATGGCTTGCAGGTATTCTATGTTCTGCTGCTTTCTCTAGAAGTGCTGTAATTCAAATTAGGTTTTATCTGCTATGAAGTCACCAAACTGGACTGGCTGGGTGTAGTGCTGGTTGACACCTGTGAATGGTCTGGGTTTAAAAACACTGGCAGTTAGGAAATTTTAGGAGATATTTTGTGGAGTTAAAGAAAAAGCAAATGCTGTTAAAATATTTTTTTCTTTTTTTGGTGAAATTTGGTGTAGTGACTGAAGAACTTGTTTTTGTCAGATACGAAAGGTTGCTGAAGGTGTGTTCCATAGCTCTTGTGGGCAAGTACACCAAGCTAAGTGACTGCTATGCATCTGTTTTCAAAGCTCTGGAACACTCTGCACTGGCAATTAATTACAAACTGGATTTAATGGTGAGCATATTTCTGGCTTTTGCTTTTGGGAATACTTTGATTCTACTATTGTATCAATCTGTGGTAACCTACTAGTTCCCATCGTGTGTGGCAGTTTTAATTCATGTGAAAACTAAAAAACAAATCAGGCAGATAAATACAGACTGGCCAAGCATCTCATTTTTAAAAATAAATGTTTTCAGATTTAATTATTTTATTTGGAACTAAACTCACCTGAAAGGAACACTGAAATTTCCCAAAACTGGATCTGATGAAAAAACACACTTTATCTGCAAATTTGTATTTATTATCATAGCTAGATTTCACTTGTTTTCATGACATATAGTTTTATGGTGGATTTGGCAGTCCTGGATTAACAGTTGGATTCAATGATCTTAGACATCCTTTCTAACCTAATTATTTTATGATTAGAAAAGAGCAAATGTACCAGTCTTAAAAAAAAAAAAGATAAGACCAAAATTAGGTAAATTGGGTAAATGGCAGGTGGTCAGCCTTTTCTTGTTCCCTGGGAAGAGTATTAGCTAATACTCTAAAATGTTGTTTCAGTGTGCATGAAGAAACAAGAAAGTGGGAACAGCCAGAATTGATCCCTGGAGATTTTTAGATCCTGACTGGAAATGATCCTAAACAACCTGCTCTAATTTGACTTGCTTTGAGCAGGGAGTGAGTCTTGAGACTTCCCAATGTCCTTTCTGACCTACATGATTGTGTCACTGTAGTGTTTCGTACCAACAGCTGCAGAGTAGGAGACTTTTATGATATGAAAAATAGCCTTGCTTTTAGCAAAAAACATGAAAGGTGCCCTGTCTGAAAATCCACAGCAAGCTTCATGTGCAGTTGGCCTTAATGTTGGTGGGGCTTCTGCATTAATCAGCATGAAAACTCATGGTTGCTGAGCTCCAGTGCAGTGCTGAAATGTTAACAGACACAGCTCCCACTGTGCTTAACTCATGTCCAGACCTCCCTTTAGCATTTATACCCAAAGGCTGTCAGTATAATCCCATGCTCTGAAGGAACTGCTTAATCTGAATGATGAATTGATGCTTCTTTAACTGATAAATGTTCCTTCTTAATATGTTTGGCAAGGAAAATACTTGTTAACTCCAACTCATTAGTTTCTCTTTCCAACCTCGTGGTGTCATAGTGTCTTCTTAGTTGGTTGTGTAATATTCTTCTAGTATAGAATAGCAACATACAAAAGTAGTTATTTTCCTGTTGTATTTTTGATGCCTTCTGGAATGTGGAAAAAGTAGAAAATGTTTGCTAGAAAGCAATCTTGTCTGGGAAACTTTCAGCAATCACCTTGTCAGTTGCCTTTCTCTGCACACAGGTGAGTTCTGCCATTTCAGATGATCTCATTTTTACGGAGGATAGACTCTACATGAGAATGTGGTTAATTATGTTAATATGAGAAAAACAGATTAACAAAATGTTAATCTGAGAAAAACAGATTAACAAACCCAGAATCAATCTCTGATTTTTTATGTCCGCAGTGCTGTACATTATCCCCTCACTTCACTCTATTGGTGCATCAGGATCTGTGATTTTTAAGGACTCTAGAGATTCTAATGCAGTATTTCCAGGAGTATTTCCAGTATTTCCAGAAAGAATCATTATCTATGATAATGATTCTTTCTCCCTTTCTACCCAAGAGTACCCAGGAACACCTTTCTCACAGACTGCAGATTTTTCCAGTCTTATAATAAGATTGGACCAGCTGTGGCACCCAAAATCCAGGAAGGTAATCAGCACCACTCCTTGTTTGACCCTGGGTGCCCTAGGAAGGTAACCTGGGTTCAGAGTTACAAAGCATTCTAGTTAATCTGCTTACCTGGAAGGTGCCATACAGGGCTATAGGCAGACACAGCTCCTGAGCTGTGTGCAAAGAAAAGGGCTCAGATTGCTGCAGTTAGAGCAAACACTTGGTTTTAAAAGCAAATACTGCATTTGCTGAAAAGTCTTCAGTGAAGTTGTTAGAGGTTTATTGGCAAATGCACTTGAAAATCTTAATAATTTCTCTTAGCACTTGACCATATACTGTCTGTTGCTCTTTCTGTGGAAGAAGAGACCATTTCATTGCATGTTTTTCTTTATTAGTACATAGATTCAACAGAACTCGAACGTTCTACGGAAGCAGAGAACTCAGTCAAATATCACCAGGCATGGCACAAACTGTGCAAAGCAGAGTAAGTGACATTGGGCATTCTGTATCCCAAGTGCAGACCATAATATTTATTTCACGTGATGAAAAATGCTTCAGTAAATCAAATAATTTCTCCATGCATCCAGATTTTTGTTCCTTATGGGAAAGGATAAATTGCATGGGTGGTGAAAAGCTTCAGCAAATCGAAGTATCAGTGTATATTCTCAAAGTCTGCTTAATCTTTTTAGAAAAATTGCAGTTTTTTTGGTTGTTGGTTTAGAGTTTTGATTGTTTTATTATTGTTTTGCTTTTTTGGATATCCTTTACAGTGCAGATCAGTTGTCAAAGGTTTTTTTGTTGTCAACATGCACACTGCAAATATCTCTGTTAAGAATCATTGCTAGGATTTAAATTTGTATTTTTAAAGGGATGTTGTTTCTTGTCTATATGCATTTAGCTTTTTTTGGTATTAGAAGATCTGAACTTTGGGTGTTGTGATTTTAAGCAGTGAATATGTAGCTAGTTTCTTTGAGCAATATTTATTTAAGCAGTGGGAATCACTGTGAAGTGTGATATTGGTCAGATGAGAATTGGGGTAGGTAGATGAAACAAATCTCCAAATTTAATTTCTTTGTATTCTGAATGGTCATATAAAACATGCCTTTCGTGAATTGTGCTTGCTTAGTTATAACCTCAAGAGTCTTCAAGTTGTGTGGATTCCTCTGCTGGCTTGACTCTACACATTAATTCTTTTATATATGTTATTACAGTGGCATTCTGGTCCCAGGAGGTTTTGGAATTAGGGGAACAGAAGGCAAACTCCAAGCTATCTCCTGGGCAAGAACAAAGAAAAAACCTTTTCTTGGTAAGATCATTAGAGTGAGAAATTACTGTGTTTAGGAGATGTATAGCAAGCTAATTTATTTTATTAAGAAAATAATAAAAAAAAAAAAGGCAACAGAAAACCCAAATTCCCACATTACAGAAGGATCCTGTCTTAGGGAAGTATGTGTGATGTTATGATTATCTGCCATATAAAGGAGCATTGTCTTGTACCACACCTGCTATACAAGGAAGAAAAAAATCAATCCCTTCTGCAAAGGTTTAGCTTGCATGTACAAAAATGGAGAGAGTTTACTTCTCATTGTAATTATATCACTAGAATTCTCTTTATTAAACAGTATGCAGAAAACATAGATGTCTTTGGACCACTTTGCTATATTATTTTTTTTTTTATTTACTGGTGTATGTTATTACGGTAAAGTCTAAAGACATCGCCTGGCCTATAAGCTATGTGCTATTTGTGTAAATGCCTCTGAGGCTTTGCTTCCTACTCCACATTCCTTACTTTTAGGTGTCTGAGTAGTTGCCAAAGCAGCGAAGTTTGAATCTGGATATACCCAGGCTTTCAGCTTCTGTTTGTCTTTGCAGTAATTATTAGTAAAATAGATGAGAGGAATAAAATATCTTTGAAAGGGCTTAAAGCACATAATTGGTTCACATGTATTTATACTGTGCCAAGTTTGAAGTGTGAGTTTTACATTGAGCAACCACTTTTGGTTTAGGTTTTTTGTAAATCTGTGTATATGCAATGAATACCAAGATTTCAAAGTAGTCAAGTTTAAGACAGAACAGCAAGTCCTACTTTGTGGCTTGGAAAATCTGGAGTTTTTGTTTTCTCTTCTAGGAGTTTGCCTGGGAATGCAGTTAGCAGTTGTGGAATTTGCAAGAAACTGTTTGAATTGGGAAGGTGAGCTCAGTATGTTAGTGTGAATATGATTTATTTTGAGGAATTTTTATTCTCTGTGTGAAATATGTATCTATTATTAGAACTGTTTACAGATCCCAAGATTGTTAGATACTTAGCTCTTGCAGCAAGATCATTTTCAGCTAAGTACCTTATGCTACCTCTCTGTGCAAAGGAATAAGAACTCTTTGTTATGTGGATTGTTTGAAACCTGCTTTTTGATCTAAAGAGTGTAAAAGAAAATGTGCTTAGAGTTCACCTCTGTAGTCACTTTCTGAAGTGTGCTGGTGGTGAGAAGTAAGAGCTGAGAAGTGGTTTTCTCACTTGCCTTCATTAGCCAGAGCAGCCAAACAAGAGCCGTTCAGTAGTAGTATGAAGAGATTTAACTTATCAATGAATTTCTAATGCTAAGTAAGAGCTGAGAGGAAAGTGTTTTGGAAAGCAGAAAAGGGAACTTGTATCTGAGGTCACATGCTTCCTGTGATTGCTTCAGAAGTGGTGCAGGATGTGTTTCAACTCATGAGATTGTAACATAAATGTAGACAAGCCCTGAAATGCCACAGAGCTGTTATGCATTTGTAGCGCATGTAGAGCAAATGTACTGTGTTTACTTTGAACTTCTGTTCCAGATGCAAATTCTACAGAATTTGACCCAGACACAAAAAACCCAGTTGTAAGTACTGTTTTTTCCCTGCATGTATTTTGTGAACATACATCTTCCTTAAAAAGAGTTACCTCTGTGTTAGCTAAAATCTATCTATATTTTTACATGGTCAGACATGAGGTGGTATCTGCTGTCCTTACTCTGTATTGTTTAAAAGGTATTTTCTGATAGTCTCTTGCCATTGCCTGTTTTCTTCTGTGAATTGCCTTAGCTTTATTTTTGTAATTTTTCTAATGGTTTCCTTTTGCGTAAACTCATGCTGGGAGTAGACAATAATGCTTAAGTTGTCTTTACTAGGGAATAAAATATAAAAGGGAGCTGAAAGGTATAGCACAAGCTATTACCAAAGTAAAAATTTGTATGAAAGATAAGAATTAAGTGGAGATGGGTTGAAAAATTATTATATTTCCTAAATATATATATAATATAAATAACCACTAAACCTGTCCTCCCCATGCATCTTATGGTCCTCCTTTTGATAGAAATGTCAATGTCCCAGATATGGCAGTGCTCTCTGCATCATATGCTGATGATGGGATTTCAGAGTGGATTTTGCACCGTTATTAATGTAGTAAAACTTAAGAGTGATCAGGGAAAGAGGGTTTTAAGAAAATGAAAAATAACAGAAATAAATATGAGAAATAAAGCAGTATCTTGGTGTGAGATGTAAACATTTGTTCTAGTGACAAAGGAGGTGGTTTGCTCACAATACCTACTGTTTCTGTATGAATTTCCTTCAAAAGAATTTTGTTGGGTTTTGCAAGTAAAACATACTTTTTTCTGCTTAGTCTGAAATGTGCAAATAAGCGGGTTCTTAGAACATTTGCTCAGTTTGTCAAAGTTGCTTACTTATTTGCATAGGAAGGATAATCTAGTCTCAACTTTCAAAGGTAAATTAAAGACCTTCAGTGTTTCAGGTGAGACTTGATGCTAGAATTTGGTGGTGTTGGGAGGGGTCCTCAGGTGAGTGAAGGTAAACTTTGCTTTTGGCATCAAATCTGTGGCCTTGCCATAGTTAGAGGTCTCTTCCTTTCCCCTTGACTATGTGCAAAAATGTACTCTTTCACTGCAGGGGTCAATTTCATAATAGCAGTGTGTTTTAAAATGTGTCGGGTGTTGAAAGCTTACTGTAAACTTTTAGATTGTAAGAAGGTAGAGCACAGAAGACTGATTCTGGGGAATCCTTATTTCTAGAGCTTTTTGATTGTCAGTTTTATTTAATGGTATTTAACTGGGTGATTTGCAGTTTAGATTCAAGGGCAAGTAAGGTAGATACGTTAAAGAGAAAATTGTGTGGACATGAAGTTAAGAAAATAATGAAGTGAATGTGCCATAGAAGATTAATACTTTGTTTACGATGGAAGTGTTATCATTGCAGTATGTATAATGGGTATTCTGTTTTTCTGAGCTGCATTAAGGTTCTGAAATTGGTTATTGACAGTCATATTTCAGCATCTTAATCTGATCTTTGACGCCTCAGTTCTGGACAAGAAACAGATGTAAATCATTCCAAGTGGGAGATTTGCACTACCAATAATTACAGCTGCTAAATAATCTGCCTTAGCAGAGTCCATCTTGTGCTGAAAGCTGTTTAGATATCCTATATAATCAATAAAAACAGTTGGAAGAGAAACAGATTACTGAAGCTTTTGGACTATCGAACTGATGTAGGTGTTTAATTATCTAAGATGTTTCATTATTTGTAGATGTTTCATTATGTTTCATTTATCTAAGAAAGTTAATTGGAGTATATCAGCACTGATAATATCTTGTGATGCTACTGTGCACTAACTTAGGACTGAAGTAGTGTGCTTTTCTTTCGGTTTCCCCTCCTTTGAAAACAGAAGAGGGAAAAGAAGGGTACTGGTGAGGCAGTAGTTACATTTCCTTTTATTATTTAAAAAAGAGACAGAACTTGACGCGTAGTTTGGCAGGGGAACTGAGGGGCATCATAAAATACACAACTACGTACGTTGCTTCTTAATTTGCTAAGCATTCAAGTACTCAGAACTGTACTACTAAAGTTGATAGTTTCATCTAAAGTGCTTAGAAAATATTTTAGTCTCTTTTGTTTCTCTTTGTTGACTGCATCTATGGAAATTTGAACCTTTTTGCTGCAAATAAAAACTACAATTATCAAGTAGTCCTGTATCTCAGTACTACACAGAATCACAGAATCATTTAGGTTGGAAAAGACCTGCAAAATAAAGTCCAACCTTAAACCAAATACCACCTTGTCAACTGGACCGTGGCCTTAAGTACCACATACATCTGTGTCTTTAACATCTCCAGAGATGATGACCTCACCACGTCCCTGGGTGGCCCATTCCAATGCTTAGGAACCCTTTCAGAGAAGAAGTTGCTCCTAATTTCCAGCCTGAACCTCCCGGGGCACAGTTTGAAGCCATTTCCTCTCATCCTGTTGCTGGCTGCCTGGGAGAATCGCCCGGTCCCCACCTGCTGCTGTCGGGCAGTTGTACAGATTGATGGGGTCACCCCTGAGCCTCCCTTTCTCAGGCTAAACCCCAGCCTCCTCAACAGCTCCATGTCAGACTTGTGCTCCTGACCCTTCTTCAGGTCTGTTGCCATTTTCTGGACATACTCCAGAACCTCAATGCCCTTTTGCAAGCCTGGAGCATTGCCCTAGCTCAGAAGGGAAGATAAAGGAGGTACATGAGCTCTGAACAGAGACCAAGTTCTTGGTTGATTATTTGCAGGTGGTGTTCCCATTATATATTTTTAAGCTTTCTGCTTTACTTCCTAGCCTTTTTGAAAAATAATGGTAGATAAATTTTTAGTATTCTTTGCAGGAGGATGGCGGTTCAGAAAGATAACAAATTTGCTTGAGTGTAGAACTTGGTGTGAAGTTTCTCACCTAAATGGTAATTTCAAAAATAAGTCCTTTAAAGGGAAACTATGGTTTGAACTTCTAGTGAACTACATTCACTGGATGAATGAAGAGTTATTTGTTTTGTTCCATTTTCCTCATCTTCCTCTACTATTAAACTTAGCTCTTTTTAAATGATTCTTTTAATGATGTTCTTTGTTGGTTTTATTGCAACTGCATCTAATACTGTTCTGGAAGAAAAAAAATACTTTCTGGGAATAATTTTCCTTTTTTTTCTCTGATTTACAAAAGCTAATTTTAATTTTGATCATTGCTCTTCATTTACAATTCACATTGTATAGGATCATGAAACTGAGCTTACTGCACTGGGTAAAATAACTGCATTTTCTATATACTCAAGAAATTGTGCAGAAGTATATTTTACCAGTAGGTGACACTCTTAAAACATGTTAATTTCCTAGTGCCCATGTTTCCTATTCAGGATGTCAGTAACCTGATTGAATTCCAAAATTTCTAAGGTTGTTCTAAGAGACGAAAGGAATGTATGTCTCACACAGGCAAAAAGCATGTCCTAAAATTCTGTGATTGTACTTAGGTGTGTGTGTAAAGTTGCTGGTGGAGCTTGGTTAGCATAATGTGCATGTGGTGTATTTACTTTTTAAATCAAAGCATATTGTTAATTTAGAATGTTTTCGTAGACCAGGAAACAAGTAATACATACAATTTTCTTTATTCCAAGAAATAACACATTTCAACAACTAAAGAGGTTTTGTAAAAGAGTGACCTGGAAGCATTTTAGGACAATCATATGATGTTTAAACATTATAATTTTAAGGCTCCTATTCATGCATCACTGGTGTGGAGTACTTTATTTATTCCTCACTTCATTGAGGGGAAATTCAGGGATAGGAACTACAGTAGTATGGGATCTTGAATGCACTTCATGGGCTTTGCAATTAAGCCAAGTCTTTAAGTGCATAAGTAACTTAAGAGATCGACATGATTTATCAATATAATGGATAATGTTGGTGTTAAAATTCAGTCCAAAATTCCAAGTTCTCTAGTAGGATTAGTCCCTAATCCACTGATTACTTGTCTTCAAAATATCTGTTCTTTATATTTCTCTTTTACTAATTTCTTCTTGAAGTAAATAATAATGTCCATGAAAACACATCTGTTTCAGGAATCATGCAATGAAAAGGGTAAGACTGCATCAAATAAGGTTAATGAGCTTTAACTGCAACAAGTCACTCAGTTTATATATACTTACATGTCAAAACAAAAAAGTACATACTTATGTAAATATAATTTAAAATTAGTATCCAGTGTTGCAGTTATCATACTTGGCATTGTTACATTGCTATTGAAAATAAGTACTTTATTTAAAAAAAAAATGAACTGCTTGTTTTACGAAGTGTCATCTTTTGTGAATGATGAAACTGATCTGTGAGGAGTATTGGATAGGATGGATACTCTAAGAAACACTCCTCAAATAGAATGCTGCATCTTTCTTTTTGCGTGTTTTAGAAACTGTGATTTGAAATTCTCTAGACGTCCAAATGATAGCCCAGGTAAAGCAGGATTTGTTAAATAACACCTCAAATGTAGCATGAAATAGAAACAGTAATTCTGAACTAGTTGGATGGCATTTTAGCTGGAATGTGTGGCTGGTGACTGTGGATGAAACACAACACAAACATGCTTTCTTTTCTGTTAAATCTTTATTCCATATGCCTTAAAATAATAACAAATCTGTGGGTTTAGATGTACACATTATGTAAACAAATGCCAGGGTCTTCTTCAAGGCAGTGATACTCGTTCTTCCAGATGCCTCACTGTCCTGTGCCAGTTATCTTTTTTACAATCATCAAAAACTCATCAAAGCTGACAGATCCATCCTTATTTTTGTCCAATGATTTAATTATGTTATCAAGTGAGAATTGATCCTGTTTTTATAGGACAAGAATTAAAAAAAAAAAGAAATAATTAGATCACAATGAGCATTTTTCTACAAAGCATGTTGCCAAGAAATGATGCATTCAGTGACAGTCAGTGTTACTTGGAGGTGTTACTGGTGGTATTGTATTTACTGGTTTGACTGGTTCAACTAGTAGGACAGTGTCTGCTGTTGTCTGCCAAAAATGTTGACAAAGATGGATAA